AGTCCCTGCCAGAGCTCCCCCTTCAGCCTGTGCTGCTGCTATTGATTGTTGTGAACTTTGCCAGTGGAAGCTGTCATATCTTTTGATGATCTCCTATCAGCTAGAACAGACTTGAAAGTATTACATTTTTCTTAAGATCTCTACTTGACATCTCAGCATTTTTGTAAATCATTCAGCCAACTCATGGACTCAAACACATGCTTTTGGGGGTTTTGTATGTGTGTGCGTGTGTGTAATTAACAGCTTTCAAGTATGCTGTAGAGGTGAATGCAAACAGAGGAGTAAATTAGTAGGTGTCAGGACAATGAATTACTTTTTTAGTATGTTTTGTACCCTGTAGGACAGCTCTAAAGAATTAAGTATACCAAGTGCTAGAGGTTGGTGAATCTGGTGAGCTTCAGGACATAGATGGACTCTTCTTGTCCCAATCAGGTAGATGCAAGTTTGCTGCAGTTCTGGGTCCCCAAGTCCAGCCTGCAGTGAGCGTGAGCATGTATTCCCAGTAGGTACACATGTGTGCACACACACGTGCAGCCACAGATGAACACAGAGCAGTGCCTTTATCAGCCCCTGCGCAGACACACACAGTGCTTGCACACACGTGAACAGCGTGGGCGGCACATACTGTTCTCTCTTTCTGATCAGGATTAACGTCCACTAGTGAAATACGTACCCACATGTGGAAAATGGGTCTCTCTGATAGCTGGCATTGGCTACTCAGTCTGCCCCAGAGCTGACCTCAGGCCCCGGTTTCCCCAGGTGCTGGCACCAGCACCCACGCACCACTGGGGTCCGTGGTCCTGCTCCAGTTGCCGGCACTTGGCTCTCATGCTGCTGCCCACTAGTCTGGCTTGAAGGTTGCTGGTGGTCTCTTATGGGGGCTCAGAATAGAGAGTGTGCCCACAAAGAAGATGGATAGAAAGGATGCAAGAGTAATTATTATTAGTAGTAAATAATTATTTACATCATTATATAAGAATATCTAGTAAGACTGTAGGGCTGGCTGTGGTGATGGAGTGCAGGCCCCGGTCAGACAAGCGTACTGACCAGCCAGGTGTTACCCAGGACCCGCCCCTTTTATCCCCTTTTCCCTCTGTTTTCTCATACTGGTTCCTCGCCAGTCCACCTTGTTCCCTCCCTTTCCCTGCCTTTGATCCTTCCCCTAAACGTCCCATAACAAGTCTTGCACATTCCTACAACCCCCTTAATACACCTTACGAGAAGTTGTACAACATCTCCAAATGCTTTTCCCCTGCAGCCCCCGTGAGCCCCACACCCCTGCAGGCGCTCATCCCCACCAGCCTGGGGAGGGAGTGGCCCCACTGCCTCCTCGGGGGGGTTCACCCAAGGACCATGGGCTGACCCCTCTCCTCCGACGGTCCCAGGGAGCAGCTGAGTCAGGGTGCTTAACTTGATGTGCAGTGATGACGTTGGTGGGGCTCCTTCCCCAGTGTTGTCCACTGATTCTTGTGGGGTCTTTGTGTTCGCAGTGATTAATCCTCAATCACATAACCTAATGCTAAGTATATGCAAAAAAATCTTGACACTGGAACTGTAGAGTCAAAATGGAAAATGGAGTGGGGGAGAAGTGTGTTTGTTATCTGGAGCTATTTCTTGAAGCATCCTCATTGCTTCAAGGGATCTGAAAATACAGATGGACAACTTAGCTCTAGTAAGGTTGTAGGGAGGCTGCCAGCAGTGTTTGCATGTGATCCTTGCAGATGAAGGAGTCCGCCTTTATGGATGGGAGCTGTAAGGGTTAAATTGTTACAAGTGCAGGTGAGCTTCTTTTTTTCAGGAAGATAACAGCTGTGTGATTTGCAGCGTAGTAATGTTTTTTCCTTAAACCAGAATGGTTAAAAAAGAAGGGAGGTAAGAGCTCTGAGTTCCGTTTTATGGGATATGACTATCATTACTCCATTTGCAGTAGCTTCCAAACCCAAACTGCTCCTCTGTGGATATTCCCAGGAAAATGAATTTATGCTTAGCATGCATGAATCATAAATGCAGTGCTTGTTGCAGCCACGCAGAAATATGAAATAATTGGCTAGTTATCTGTTTTGCCATAGATATTTTGTTATAATCTCTATTGGCAGTTAGTCTGACTGGGACAGTTTTGGAGAAAAAGGCTGCAGAAGTTCTGATTTTTGGAGATACTGTATGCATGTGAAATGCTTAGCATGAGGTTTAATTGCAAGTTATGTCTGGGGCTTGTGGCACGCTGCATTGTAGAAAATTTAGACCTTGCTTGCATACTGCAGTATCTTATAAAAATTTTTAAAAAATCACATTTAAAAATTTTTTTTTTCCTGAAGAATACTGCATCCAGCTTTGGACCCCCTAATAAGAAAAAGACATCAATAAAGTGGATCCAGTTCAGTGGAGGGCCATTGAAATGGTGGAGGCTGGAGCATTTGCCCTGTAAGGAGAGGCTGGGGGAGATGGGCTTGTCAGTCTGGAGCAGAGATGGCTTTGGGGTTGGGATGGGGACCTTACAGAAGCCCCCAGTGCCCCTGGGGAGATCACTGAGGAGATGGTGCAGGGTGGAAGGATGTGAGACAACAGGTGTAAGTTGACGGAAGAGGAGCTCAGCCTGGAACAGTTTTTCCCCCTGAGGACAGTCAGTCAGAGGCACAGGTTGCCCGGAGAGGCTGTCCAGTCTCTGTCCTTCAATGATTTCAAGACCCAACTGGATGAGGCTCTGAGCAACCCGGTCTGACCTCAGAGCTGACCTGCTGTGAGCAGGGGGTTGGACCAGAGGCCTCCTGAGGTCCTTTTCAGCTGAAGTTGTTCTGTGATTTCATGATGATCTGAGCTTTAAATTGCGCTATTAGCCTGCATGATTAAAGTGTATCTTATTACTTACTAAACAGTTTATGGTAGAAGAGAGGTTTGGCTTAGGTCAAACTAGTAGAGATTGCCTGACCAGCTAACTTGGACCAGGTCATACTAAACTACCACATATTTATGTTAACAGCAACTTAAAGTATGCTATTTAATTTCTCTGTTATGCTTAGATTGTAAGCACTGATTAAACTTATTTTGTTTCAGATAAATGCAAGTGAAATTCAAAGATTTTCAGATTTTCCATTGTCAAAAAAAACCCTAAAAGGTGAGTACAAAAGTTTTTTTTGGAAAGTAATTTAAATAAAAATGAATGTATAATTTACCTGCATCTGAACATTTTTTTGCTTTAAACTAAGTTTTAGACAAGTATTGCCATGTACAGTGTTTTCTAAACAGAGGAATACAGCTCTGAGCAAGACAAAAATAAAGATTTTTTTTTTTCTTTTTTTTTTTTTTCCCTTCCCCTCCCACACTCTTCTCTTCCTACACTGCAAATACTAGGATTGCAGGAAGCTCAGTATCGCGTGGTAACGGAGATACAGAGGCAAACCATAGGTTTGGCTTTACAAGGTAAAGATGTTCTTGGAGCTGCAAAGACTGGATCAGGCAAAACCTTGGCTTTTATTGTCCCAGTAAGTAATTTACATCCTTCCATTTGTACTTAAACCAAGTTATCTGGGAAGTATTGGATGTCAAACAGCTTAGGTTAATGGGAGATTCTGGGAGAAAAGTTACAATTCAGTTGATCTAAATGTTCCAAGAAAACCAAGATACTAATTTAATAAAGCTGCTTGAGGTTCTGAAAGAAGTATATTTTTGGCCCTAGGAATATTCTGACACATAGAAATTCCATTTTGATCCTTACATTAGTAGACGCTGTGTGATTTAGGAAGTGCTTTGTTTTTGTCTCAGGAATCTGTTTTCCTGGTGCAATTCTAGTTGTCCAATTCTTTTAAAATTTGAAAACTAAGTGTATGGAACAGAATGGTGAAATTTCTTCAGTTCCTTGGACTTCTTTTAGATGAGTGGTTTTCACCCCTTTAAAATTGTAGGATTTGGACCTTATGTAGCAAACTTAAGCTTAGTGATTGTGGACTTCCATTTCCTTGTCTTTTGTGGACTCCTTAGAAATCACTTCCAGGTGCAAGCAGGAAAACAGGATGGAAACCCCTATCATGGATAATACATGTTTGACTGCTTTACTCAAAGCATCATGCTCTGCATTTCATTTCTTCAAGTTGAAAGTATAATTGACATGTTTGCTTAAAGTGCACATATAAGTGGATGCAAAACCCATCATGTTACATGATTAGATAAAGGGTAAAAGAAATGTTGTTTTGATTATGGAGGGTTTTTTGGTTTAAACATTACTTGCATTTTTGTGAGCATGAATTTCTTTGCAGCCTATTCTGTCAGTAACTGTGGGAACAGTAGTAGGTGTTTTGAATACCCTCTCTAGTTGAGAAGACTTATGCTTTATGCTGGTTTTGTTAAAATTTATTTTTTATTAGTAAAGAATAAAAAAATGTAGGTGACTTCAAAGGATAGTCGTGACCTTGAGAAATAAAAGTGGCATTGCTCAATTAGTTCATCTAGGAGTAGAAGTACTTTGTTTTACAAACCTTGTTTTAAAACAGTTTTAGGGGAGAAAAGTGTTAAGAGAGGAGCTGGAGAGATGAAAAGTGAAAAAAAAAATTCATTGTACAAGGATGCTTAACAGCCTTCAGTATTTCAGAATGCTTCAGGTATTCATACCTGTGAAATCTTTGTTAGGATTAGCTAAGACAGTGTTTCTGCAGTGTGAATTCATAAGAGGAGGAATAATCCTGGTCTGAGGTTTATGGCAACTTTGTTTGGAGTGCTCTGTATATAGCATGTGTGGATAGTACTGCTAATTAAATTAATTAAAGTAACTGGAATTAAAGCTGCAATAATTGACTTTCCTCTAGTTGCTCATTCTGTTTCTGGTTCCCACAAAACCTTATGAGCAGGGAGGTTTCTCATGTTTTTCTAATCTGGTTTCTATTCTCGTATAAATGATTAAGGCTTAATTTTCAGAATTTAGCAGAGTAGGGTTAATTGTGCAGTAAAATATTTATGATTTACCACCCATTACTGTCTGTCATAGATTGATATTGGGGAACTTTCCTACAGCAAGTATCATTACCATCAGTTAGAATTGATATATAATCAAACTATGTGAAATGTATACTGTTTCTTCAAGTCATTATTTTAATTAGTGTGGCTTTATCTTTTTTTTTTAGAATACATTTTGTTACAAATTTGTTGTTGTTACATCTCTTCCTTTTGAGATTTTTATCATGAGAATATGGTAATATTTTTCAGGCTTTGGAACTCCTGTATCGCCATCAGTGGACTTCGGCTGATGGACTGGGAGTTTTGATAATATCGCCTACTCGGGAACTGGCATATCAAACCTTCAAGGTTCTGCGTAAAGTGGGAAAGAATCATGAGTTCTCAGCTGGCCTTGTCATTGGAGGAAAGGTGCGTCCTCTCTTCGAGTTTGCTGTATGGAAGCATAAATAAATGCTATATTAAGTGCTAGTTTAGGAAGGAAGCCCTGGAAATGAAAAGTGAGGGAAGAGAGTAGTTAATGGGAACCTATCAATGACCCACTCGTATTCTTGTCTGTGTACTCTGTGTCTTTTGAAGCTTTTGCATATTTACAGTCTTTCCAGGTTACATGACTGGATGGACCTTCCGGACAGGCCTTCCAGGACTATCCTGTTAATTTAGATTATTCTGAAATACTTTTTGCTCAAGCCACCAATATGAGCATGCTGAAGAAATTGTGGTATCTTTGTAGAAGGAGGAAAGGCTGATCCTTGACTATTCTTTCTAAAAACTATCAATATGTTAAGCTGGCCTGGTCATCTCTGGTACTGGACTTCTAGTGTGAACAACTAGAGCTAAGCTGGTTTAACTCCTTTTCAGGATCTGAAAGAAGAGTCTGAAAGAATCCACCACATAAATATGCTAATTTGCACTCCAGGACGGCTTCTACAGCACATGGATGAAACTTCGTATTTCTATGCATCTGATCTGCAAATGTTGAGTAAGTTTTTTAAGTACTTGAAAGTACTCAGAAATATTTTGTAACAGTTCATAATTGTGTGGAGCACTTCCTTGGGTAAAAAGTTTATCCTAGTCATGGTGTGTAGATGAAATGGCATTTAAGTTCACACATGTGCAAATTAAAATAGAAAACAAGAAAACCCCTTTCTTGTGTGTACTTTCTCTCAAACAGTTGCTGAGCATGCCTTCCTTAGAATGATAAGAACAAGTAGGTGAGTTAGTAAGTGGCATGGTTTAACCTGGCAGGCAGCCAAATACCATGCAGCCGCTCACGCACTCGTCCCCTGCCCCAGAGAATCGGAAGGGTTAAGAGTGAGAAAAACTCGTGGGTTGAGATAAAGACAGCTTAATAGAACAGAAAAGGGAAAAAAATAATGGTAATGATAGAATATACAAAATGAGTGATGCACAATACAATTGCTCACCACCTGCACTGACCGATAACCAAGTAGCGATCGGTACTTCCTGGAACACGCCTACCATTCATACGCTGAGCATGACATCACATGGTATGGAATACCCCGTTGGCCAGCTGGGCTGGCTGTCCTGATTATGTTCCCTCCCATCTTGTGCACCTAGCTCAGTTGGTAGAGCATGGGAGCTGTCCTTGACTAGGAGGGTACTTAGAAACAACTGAAAACATCAGTGTGTTATCAACATTCTTCTCATACTAAATCCAAAACACAGCACTAGGAAGAAATTTAACTCTATCCCAGCCGAAACCAGGACAGTAAGGAACCCAAAACCAAATGTAATGTCCCATATAATCCTTAGATCTGTCTTGGCTAACACTGGCCTTTCCTTTCTGGCTATGGCTCTCATGTTTTTCTTGACATGATAATTAACTATATGGAATCTCCATTGCAGTGTGTGTATTTTGGGCCTGTTCTAGAAAACACTTTTCTTTGAATTTTAAGACAGATTGCTGCTCCTTTCATTGTTTTGTTAGCATTGTTAACATTCTTTTCTTCCTTCCAAGCTGAATAAAAATTTCAGTGTATGAAAAGGTTTGCCTGCCACTAAGAACTGCATAATCTTTAGCATAGCTTGAGGAACTTAGAAGCAGTTAAGAAGCTAATGAAGCTGATAAAATGTGAAATTATGCTTGCTACACTTACTACAGTTCATGGCAGTTAGACAAGAACTGCATTAAACGTAGGCCCTTTTCTTAAAGCTTTGCCTCTGTGCTACTCTGCTTATTCCCTGTGTTTCAATGCTAAATTCAGCTTGGGTACAGGAGAGTCTGTTTTGCTCTGTCATGAATAGTACAGCACTGTTTTGTATTCCATGCTTTTGTTTCAGTAATAGGACAGGGAGTTTTTAATTTGCCGTCTGTCTGCAAATTGCTGAACTGTTTACTTGAAATGCTATCTTTTATGCTTCAGCATGTGAAACTGAGGGCTGTAGTGTATAGATCATTGCAAATCCTATGACTTCTACTGCACTTTTTAAAAAAACATTTTATGGAATATATCTAAAGAGAATCCTGTCATATACAGTAATTAAGCTAATCTCTGCAGTTTAAGTAGGCATGGATTTTTGTACTATATGGATTTGATGTATGATTTTTTTCTTAATATGAATAAAGCTAAAACCAGATTTTCTCAAATCTATGTCTCAATTCAGTTCTTGATGAAGCTGATAGAATTCTAGACATGGGGTTTGCTGATACAATGAATGCAATCATAGAAAATCTACCTAAGAAACGCCAGACCTTGCTTTTTTCTGCAACACAAACAAAATCAGTGAAGGATCTTGCACGGCTGAGTCTGAAAGATCCAGAATATGTTTGGGTTCATGAGAAAGCCAAATTCAGGTATGTTGGGATAATTTTTTTTTTTTTCCTGGGGGGATTAAACAGATGGTGATCCTACTTGCTTCTCTGACTGTCGGTTCCCTGAATCAGAAGTTACTTCATGTGTCCTCCTTCTTGCAGTGTCTGATCCTGTTGTGTGCCTTCCTGAAAGCAAGGAATTTCCAGATAAGAGGGTACTGGTTCTGACTGATTCATTACAGGGAGGCCGAACCTGTGCTTCCCTTGTGGCTCCTCAGGCAGTTTCACAGACTGGAAATTTTCTTCCTCAGGAGCAAGCCCCAGAGTGTATTATAGCCTGGATGGAGTAGCGTCCTGGCTGTAGCACTCGCTTCTGAATTGCTACTTTTTTGTTGTTTGGCTTCCTTACCTCCTGTGTGTGCACACTTACTGTGCAGAACCACCAGATGTGTTGCACAAATACAGTGCTTTTTTGTGCTGTTGATAAATCTGGCTTTCAAAGGAAATGCTGCTCTATTGGGAAAGTGCAGAATGATAGTCTTGTTTGTGTATTAGGTGCCCAAAGGGAAGCATGTAGCATTAGAATCATAGAATAGTTTGGGTTGGAAGGGACCTTTAAAGGTCTTCTAGTCCAACCCCCCTGCCATGAGCAGGGACATCTTCAACTAGATCAGGTTGCTCAGAGCCCCGTCCAACCTGACCTTGAATGTTTCCAGGGATGGGGCGTCTACCACCTCTCTGGGCAACCTGTGCCAGTGTTTCACCAATTACTCCATGTGCATTAAGTCTTGCGGCTTCCTGACGTGCTGGGTTTACTGTGCATATGAAATAAATTTGTCATGCCATACAGTGTGGATCAGAATGGGAAGGCCTTGTGAGGAGTGAAGTATGTGGTCTGCCAAGCTCAAAAAATTTAATGTGTCACTAAATGAAAAAAAAAGTATGTGTTTTTTTTGGCACTTTTTTTCCTTTTGAAATCTAAGTGAAGAATGTTACCTAATATTTTGTATTTCTGTGGGTTCTATTGTCTAAGTGTCAAATTGCTTATGAGCATGTATGATTTTTTCCTGCTTTTCTATGAAGTATGCATATATTTCCATATGTAAGATGCAGGAGAAAGGTGAAGCACAGTGATAAAAATGGCTTTCCCAAGAGCAAGCAAGAAATCATCAGCAAAATGAACAGCAGAACCAGGTTGAATCCTGAGGCAGTTTTAACTATTTGATTTGATTATCCTCTGTATTGTACTGCAAATACCTTTTTTTATAATCAGTAGTACTACCAAAGTCATCTTAAATAAGCATGATTGCCAGAGAAAATTGTGTGGTTAATATCCTCTTAGCAGGAGAGGATGTATAAGCCTATTATGTAGTCTTCATTTTGAGGACTGACTGTACATCTGTTTCACAGATCTTGCATTTTTTGTGAAGTCTATTTTAAATTACATATAATTTTTTAAAAATATTTGGGAGAGTGCAATTAGATAAGAAACTGAAACAAAAAAAGGAAATTATTATTTGTTTTAGAATTTACTGTCTTAGTATACAATAGGTTATTGCCTTATGAAAACAATTTCCTCTGAAAGAATTACAAAGCAAAAGGTGCTGTGGCGTAATTCAAATTGACTAGCAGAAAAAAACCTGGAGCACTGTCTTATAATTTCATCCTCCCAAGTGGCACCTTTAATAAAATAATTTTGAATACCCTTGGTCTGTTTAGGGTGAAGCAGAGGAACTGTGAGAGATGAGCATTTAGATGTATTTCAAGGACAAATATGCCAAAGAATTTTTTTGTTTGTTTGTTTTTAGTTTAGTTTGTTTTGTAAAGAACGGAGAGGTGAGTTAAGGTGACAATTCAGAGCTTTGCAAAGTCACTTTGCACGTCAGGGTGTAATCAGTAGAAGTACATCAATGCTCATTTTTTGTGTGTGATTAGACTGTGCTTTGACATTGCCTTAACCACAAATGATGCTGTAATAGGACTAATAGACAAAATTGCATTTTAAGTCAAGGCAATTTGAATGTCTCTGCTTAGACATGGAAAGAGTTTGGCTTGCTAGTAGTAAATGAATTTAGAAGTAATGTCAAAAGTTGTCCCCTCCTCCCCACTGGCTTTTAGTAAGGAAATAGATTAATCTTCCAAGAACAGCTTTCTAGTGGAGCTGCTAAGAGTTATTCCTCAGAGTGGGAGAACTTTCCAGCCTGACTTTTTTTTTTTTCTTTTTTTTTTTCCCCCCTTCTTTTTCTGGGTATTTGTCAGACACTCTTAACTTAAAAGAAAGGACGGGCAGCTCTGTAGATACTGTATGCCTGTATATTCTCTCTCTTCCCTTCTTTTCTTTCTCATTCTAATGTTGTGGGAACTAATGATATCTAAATGTACTTTTGGGGCTTTTTTTTTTTTTTTAGTACCCCGGCAACTTTGGATCAGAACTATGTTGTCTGTGAGCTTCAGCAAAAAGTAAACATGTTATACTCTTTCCTGAGAAGTCACTTGAAAAAGAAGAGCATTGTGTTTTTTGCAAGCTGTAAAGAGGTATGTAAAGAGCTATTTCCCCCCCTCCCCTGTACTGTTAAGATGTTCCTGTAGATGTCAAGTCACCAGAGAGGTGAGATTCTGGACTAGTTTGCAACAGGAAACTGGGGGAGGAACCAACCATCACCTACTCCTGTAGGCATGTCATGTAGGCTTGGCTGCTGGGAAGCTCAGTGACCCAGGCTCGATGCAGGAAGGTCCTGGAGTACACTGGAGATCTCAGTGTACTCAGCCATTTTTGTGGTCTGCTGTTAAAAATGAATTCTAAAAGTTATGTGACTAAGGGCCAGCTCTTTCAGTTTTGTCTCATGACCCATTTCATAGTTGGGTTATAGAGTATTTTAATAGTTGTACCTACTTTCTTTACAAGCTTTTAAATCTGCCTATATAAGAGATTGTAATTGTGAAATAGTGCAGGGAAATGTTTTTCTTACGGTTATATAGGAGGTAATCCTTCAAATATCTACTTGTATAAATGTCCTGGGACTATTCTGTTGAAGTTATTTGTATGTGTTTGTATGGCACAGGTATTTATTCCTATAACTACTGCATGTATCGAATATTTTACAACGTACAATGCTGTAGTAAATATTCATTGCAGTTCTTCCACTTGTGTAAGAGGTTACAATGTTTTTGTTCTGCAGTTGGCTGGTGAGTATAGTGAGGTGGTAGGCTTAGTTGTACATAAATTCTCTGAGCTGCAGCTGTACTGCAATATACACAGTTTCTGTAACTATTTGCTTAAAAGAATATTAGATAGCTGCCTGGTATAAAATAATGCTGCATCATGGTAGTGTATGTAAGAGTAAACAGACTGCTTTTATAAGAGAAGCTGTTGAAGCTTGAAATAGTAAACCAAGACTGTGTAGACTGCTTTGAGTGCAAGCATCAGACACTACACCCCTCCAGTATTGTCTAAAAGAAGTGCTTCTGGTGGACTTTTGGTACTTCGGTCCCTTGCATACAACCTAATTAGTCATGTCCCAAGTTGTTCTTGCTGTTACCTACTCTGGTTCCTTTTAGGAAATGCCATCAAGAGGCATGCCAATCTTGTGCCACAGTTCATTTCCTCTTTTAGTACCTGGGCGTGTGACAAAGTCTTGAAATAGCATCTCTTGTCTCTGATGTGGAGAAAAGTGTATTTTATTTGATGTGCTAAGTCAGTTGCTGTATACTGGATATGATCTTAACAAGTTTACTATTGCATGGTAATTTTTTTTTTTCCCCCTGATTTGTTGGGTAGGTCCAGTATCTGTTCAGAGTGTTCTGTAAGCTTCAGCCTGGTCTTCCTGTACTGGCACTCCATGGCAAACAGCATCAGATGAAGAGAATGGAAGTCTACACTTGTTTTGTTCGGAAAAAGGCAGCAGTACTTTTTGCTACAGATATTGCAGCTCGTGGCCTGGGTATGTACCCACAGAAGCAATAGTTATTCACAAAGTGATGATCTAATCCTGTTGAGACTTTATCAGTGATAGTATGCTCTGAAGACCAACCTGATTTGTAAGAAATGAAACTGTAGTTTGCTTAAGAGCTTATTAAGGTCTCTTAGAAGAGAGATGCTTCTTAGAGTTCTGCCATTTCTTTACTGAAAAGGCCTACTTCATTTGTGCTTATTTTTTCTTTTTGTCCCAGAAAGACCTATGTTGTCACTAGTTTTGTAATGACATTTGTTACTGAGGTAGTTGGTGGAAGCTGTCTTTTATATATTTATTTATTCATTAAAGTCTGTAGACAGTCCAGTTTTTCCAGCCATGTTCTGTGACAAATATCTGGAACGAGGGAAAATGGAAATAGTGATGTATTTGCTTACTACATGCCTTAAGGCAAGATTTCAGCAGTTTTAAGTATTTCTGATGTGCCTGTATTTTGTGGGTTATTCCAGAATATGAAAAATTACTAACCTACCAGGAAGTGGAAATGAAAACCTGAAGAAATTTTAATGTCTGAACTATGAATGGCATTATAGGACAGTATTCTTAAGGAGGCAGAAAAATAGATGAGGGGAAGAAGCAAGAATATTTATAGAATCTGTTTTGGCTTGAGTTTCTTTCCTCTCGTCATTACCTGCTGAATTATGATTTACTTTGTTTTCAGTGGATACTTTGGACTTTTTAATTTTTTTTTTTTTTTAGTACTTGGAGGCATTTAGGTGTGACGCAAAACTGTTTTCAGGAGTCTACTCGTATCCCTGGAAACATTCAAGGTCAGGTTGGATGGGGCTCTGAGCAACCTGATCTAGTTGAAGATGTCTCTGCCCATGGCAGGGGGGTTGGACTAGATGACCTTTGAAGGTCCCTTCCAACGCAAACTATTCTATGATTCTGTGATTCTTTCAGATAGCAAACTCCGTTGTGCAAAATGTAAGGTTTTATCAGTATGCTACAAAAGGAAGGAAGGTGCTCTAAAAACTGAAGGCAGAAATGAAAACTGTTTATCGTACCTCCTACACTGCTGAAATCTCACTAGCGAGCATCTAATGTGGGTATGGTGTGGGTTTAGAGTGTAGGTATAATTGTGGAATACAGTGCAGCTACAGACTTGGTCAGGAAGTAACACAAACTTACTCAGATGCAAAGCATGCTGCTGCCGGATGAAGTGCAGCAGTTACAAAATGTTTATTAATAATATCATTCACATTCAATGTTGACTTCTTCCTCAGGCTTGGTGATTCCCTCCTGTCTTTGAGAGGGACAATGATACTTCTGTATGCAGATAGCTGAAGTAGTGCTGTCTCGCCACAGCTAACTTCAAACCCCGGTGGTGTAGGATATTGATACTGTAGGTGAAAAGTGGGTCAGATACTGTTATTTAATTATTAAATGAAGTGGTGTTTTATCATCTGTGTGACACAAAGCATGTCTGTTCTTGTCAAGTGTGAAATTATGTTCCATTCAGTGTACTGTCATAATTTAGGAAATGAAGACACCATTAATTTTAGCTTTCTTTGATGAAGAGGGTGATTGTTTATGATATGCTAATACATGCAATTAATTTTATTGTTATTTCAGAGGTTGCACCCAATGTCTGTAAATTGGTCTAAATGATGGTTCTTACAAGAATTAATGCTCCAAAATAATACGTTGCTCTTGAATAGGAGGATTTTGAGTACAGTGGGCTTACATTTTGACATTTTTTTCTTTACACAGATTTTCCAGCAGTGAACTGGGTCATTCAGTTTGATTGTCCAGAAGATGCAAACACATACATCCACAGAGTGGGAAGAACAGCCAGGTTTGTTTTAACTTTTTATTAAGATTTTAATGTTTAAAACTAGATCGCTATAGGGACAGATAATTGGCTAAAGACTCACTTGAAAAAAATCAAGATATAAATCGGAAAGGAAGAAGGGCTGTTATCACCAAAAGACCCTTTTGATTACTTAAGAGTAATGGTTTGACTTAATAATTTCTTAGTGAGCTTCAGAGACTCCTTACAGGAGACAGGAAAAATATGCCCAGTTGTTAAATCTGATCAGGGAAGACTAATAGTGAGGAAGCAAAAAATCTTCTTTTGCCCTTGGCAGGATTACCTCAAAGGCTGAGTGGTGCATGTTTGTGGGTGGAAAAGCTTGTTTTGCCACCACCATTTATAGATAAATAAGGCTTTAGACTGTGAATCCAATTTCTCTGTGTCATTGAAGACTCTTCAAAAGAATGGAAATATTTCTTCCTCATTTTAATTTGGGGAGGAAGGAACCAAATAATGTTAATTACAGGTTAAATTTTTAATTTTCTAAGTCTTTTGTAGAATTACATTCTTAGGGATAGCTTTAGTTAAAATATTTGTGGCTGAGCCTTTATGATGGAAGGGAGTTACCCAGATACACAATTGCAAACCTTGTCCTTGATCTCTGAAGTAGATTTTTAAGAGAAATAGGAGTTGTTATTGTGTGTAATTCAGTAGATGAAAAACTTTATGCAATTGTCTGAAGGATGAAATGCAAGACCTGACATTATATCTTGCACATAATTTAATTTGTTTGTAGTAGGGTTTTATCATTGTTGCAATATAGGCAGCAGTCAAACCTGATGACAGAACAGTTTCTTAGAATAGGACTTCAGCACTCTGCGCTGTAGGACTTTGAAATCTGTCTTTCTGGATCAGGTGGCATTAAATTTTGGTGACTGTGATAGGAGTGTGTACTTCCAACCCTCTTTCAGAATGTGGAAGTTCTAGCTGTGTTTTCGTTGTAATTGGTAACTCTGTAATTAGCAATTATAATTGGTAATTCTGCCCCATTTTGTCCTGTGTTCTCCCTTTTCCTATCCACCTGTTACAGTAGAAGGGAATAATAAATTTTTAAATGCTTTTAGAAAGAAACTGTCTATGAACAAAACCAGTGAATATTATATATAATTAGATAAACATGTAGCTATTTGGCTAAATTCAAATCTAGATGTAATCTCATGCATCCCAATTGAAAGAAAAGCATATAGGCTTTGAATTCTTGTGGGGGTGTTGTGTTGTGTTGTTTTTTTTTTTTTCTTTCCTTTTTTGCTAATCCTGTGTGGCTTCCACAGAAGGCTTGTAATTTTGTCTTTATGTCATACTGTCATCGTGGAAGGGAAAACAATGTATTTGGCACTGTTTAATTGGCAGTTTCTGGGAGGCTTGTTGAGCTCTTCCCGAGCTGTGTCACCTCCCTGGAGTTATAATCCTCAGCCTTGTCCCAATTCTCATTAGGTGCCGAGAAGAGTGATTGTAAGTAGGTTTAGAGAGGGGAAGCAGCTACATAAAGATAAATAACCCCCCTTTTCCACAAAGCTTTTAATAAAATGTCACTCTGATGAGGACGTTAGTCTTGCAACCTTAAGGGTCTGTCTTCAGCGGCCTCTTAAATAGAACCTTCTGTGATTGCTTGAGGGACAGATTTAGGCAGAAAATTGGGGCAGCGAGTCTGTCCCGCAGGCCATGGGGTGTGCCTGATGCCTGCCCCTTGCTTCACCGGGCTGTCATGTGCATTTCCCTTTACGTGAATTTTTCAGTAGCCAGACCTTGCTGAGATTGGGAGTACGTCTGAGCAAGTTGTTTGAGCTGGCAGGGTGGTGACTGATGCTGCAAACACATTCCTTCTGCAGGAAAAGCTTTATGACTATTATCTGTCTCTTAATCTGTTACAAAGATCAAGGAAGGTTCTGCCTACGCTGGGCTTTCACTTTGGAGAAAGATAGAGGCTCTCTCTGTCCTTAAAGTAAAGCGGTCCTGGAAAGTGATTTGTTTAGTGAACTTAACAGCATGAAATAAATCTTTGAAAATAAAACAAGGGAGAAGTCTAATACTTTTAAGTAAATACTATGCACTAAGTAAATATACTATTGCAGTTTTAATGTGGATAATTGAGAACGTACTTCTTGGTGAACTCTTAAGTGTTGAGTAGGAAACTTCACTTGTTTTCAATAGCTACAGTTAGTATGAGAAGCTCGTGTTTCTTCTAGAAACTTGATAAAAATGAACTGCAGTTTAGTAGTCCTCATTAATGAGGTTAGAGATAATTAGAAATTTTCATGGGTTACGAGAGTGTATAATTGCATGGAATGAAGGCTAAATTAAATATCTCAGCTAATTAAGAGACTGTTAAACTGTAATTAAAACGGGGATGCCAAACACTGTTTACTTTTGAAATCATTATTTTGTGATACAAAACTAAATATGAAAGTCAAGAGAGAAATTATTTTGGGGATGGGGCTGAAAAACCTTTGACTAACAATCATAGATGTGTTCCCACATCTGTTTTACAGTTTTGCAAAAGCTTGTCTAAGATGAAAGATAGTGATTGATTTTTACGTGGATAAGACCACCGTGTTCCCTAAGCAGCATTTCACTTGCATTTCATCTTACTGAAGAACATAAATTGCAACTCCTGCATTTTTGATTTATGGTAAAGTAAGATCAAGAAAATCTGGGTGTTGTCCAGTAATGCTTTTACTTCGTAGTAGAATTGGCATACCTTGATTTTTTTTTTTTTTTTTTTTTTTTTAAAACTTGAAAGGTAAGCTATTTCTTCCAACTGCATTTTAAAGTATTTATTTAAAGTCTTAATTAGTTCAGTAACAGAATTTCTAAAATACTGACAATATCATGGCCATGCCCATAAATATTTTTGGCTATATTTTTGTCTCACAATCTCTTAGCAAAGTCTGTAATTTAAAATACTAGATCACAGTTTTTTCCTGTGGGTTTTAGTTTCAAAAATTCTAAGTAAATAAGAGCTACTTGTAGCGATTGTCTGCAAAACTGATTTCTTCTGGCTTTTAATTTCTATTGATGCCTTCTGTTCTGTAGCCTATGAAGCCTACAATGGAAAATATTCTTTGATCAATTTTGTGAAACAAGTTGCAGTGCCACTAGGGGACAGCAGAAGATAATAATTTCTGAAGCACACTGATACTCACTTTTTTCCCCAGCTGTTTTTCCAAACATAATTTGTAAGTTGTATGGCATGAAAGAAACATATATAGGGATGTTTTTCTTTCAGTCATGATTGCATTGATGAGTAGAAAAGACACTGAAAAGTCTATTTTGTCTTCCTATTCATACGTAAATATCTTGTATTTTGGATGTCCCTGTATCCTGGCATGTCTCAGTAATTAATTTCTTTCTTTCCTAGCATTACATTCCTCCCTCCACTCTATTTTTGTGGTGTTTTTTGGTGGTTTTTTGTGTGTTGTTTTTTTTTTTTTTGCTTCAGAGGAGACTATTAAAAACTGTTACTTGGGTTTAGTGATTTTTCTGTCAGGAATCTTTTTTTAAAGACACTGACAGTGGAATGTTAAACAGAATTTTAAAGACACTGACAGTGGAATGTTAAACAGAATACATCTTTTTGCCCTGCGGTTTTTATCTGTGGTATTTCCGGACTTTATATAGGCTTTAGGTCTGACTCAGGCTCAGACTTCTGACGGTATTTAATCCACGCTTGTTGGTTAGGTTTCTTAGGTGCTTAAACTGACTTAGGAAAGTCACTGTAATTTTGTTGTTGTCGTTAAACTTAGTGTTCATACAAGCATGCATATTCTGTCTAGCTCTACATATGCTTTTTTCCTTTTAGTAAATTATATTCTGAAAACAAATGAAGTAACAAAAGTCATCTTCCCAAAGCAGGATACTCTATTGCCTACTATCTTTGTACTGGCTGGTATGATGATTACAGCCAAGAAGTACGAATAAAGACTTAAAAGATCTATAGTCTTTTTGATGCCTTGTGAATACTGAAGAACACATGCACATCAAATTTTGGAATGGTGAAAGGGGCAGGTCATATAATGATCTTATTCTGTGATGAAGTAAAATGCTTTGAAGCCTGCTCATTGGGGCTCTCCTTAAGTAATTCCACATTATGTGTGTGAAAGTGAGACTAATGAGCCTTTAAAGTAATCCTTGCAAGTGGCACTAAAGCATTTAAAAATGTAAGTGACTTAATGGAACTATTTTTCAATATTGGAAGCTTGATTTCCCCTCCCCCCCACCTTGGGAAATATATCCCAGGGATACATGTCTTGGGTCCTGAATAAACAGTATGGTCAAGGTGGCAGCTCCTTGTTTGATTTTTTTTTTTTTTTAAAATTTTTTTTTATTTAAGACCCATTGAAGCACTTTTACTGATGTTTCTTTAAAAATAAATGCAGTATTTGGACCATCTCATATTATGCTGCAGTCAAGTCATTATCCTAACTCAAGTTAAGTAAAAATAGCTGCTAGTGGAGGTTACAAGAAATTGTTGACACCACATATTTAACTTGCAATTCACATTATTAAATTCTCTAAAATTAAACACTCTACCCTAGCTACATTCCTGACAGTGGCCTGCGATGCCGCAGTCGTACTGACTGGCACTGTGTTACCCATTAGAATTCTCTTCATAATAGCATAGTATGAATGTTCCAATACACTGAAATATTAAGTGGCTAAGGTTATTACCTGCTGACATGACGCTATCCTGTAAGCTGTAACAAATAAGCAAGAACATGTATTTTAATGCAGTAGGGAGGACACAGCTGCTGTGGAAAATGGATTGCTTATAGTCTAGGCTGGAGGACCCAACAACCTCCCAAGGCCTTTTGAATTCATTGAATTTATTCTGAGACGAGCATGATAACGTTGGTGACCCACTGCCTGTTCTTGTCCATTGTTTCTCGTGACTAAGTCTGTCTGGCAAACAAGGACACCTAGCCAGTACGACCGAATGAAGGGGATTATGGTTTTGTGGTATGAATAAAACCCAGTTGCATGGT